TTTCCTTTTCTTTGGCCAAATCTTTTAAAACACTTTTGTTCGTTGTGGTTGGTTTTCTTGCAGATCAAACAGGCATGGACCCTTCCACAGACTTTCTCATCCGCGCAGTGACGTCTATTCCAATTGATACAAATCTCCCTTCCGTCATGCCATTCTATTTCGGGTCGTGAGGTACGATATGTGTTGTGTTTGTGTTTCTTTGCTGTTGTTATGTCGAAATTTCTGCCCTCGACTTCAACCTCACGGTCTAGAAGAGTTGAGTCCCGATTTGTCACCAAAGTTACTCTGCGATCCTCATCGTAGGACATTACAGCATGAAAACTTTGTTTGAGACATAATTCGCTGATGTGGTCTCTGTAAGTGTTGAGCTCCTGTTCTCTGTTTTCGTAGATGATAAGAACAGCATCCATATATGCCTTGAAGGCAAGTAACCACTCTGAGATATCTGCGAATGCTGTATGACGGGAGCGCCTCTTAATCGATATGGTACCACCTTCTGCTGATTGCAGTGTGGGTTCGTCCTCTGCATCCTTTATGCTTGACAGCAGGTTTTTGTAAGTAAAGTTCTGAAGGTTTACGTATGCACCGGAGGCTACCGCTTTCCATAGCTTGAGTGAAATGTTGGGCTTAAAAGGAAGAGTTTCGATTATTCTTTGACCATCTGGCCAGTTCATGACCCACCAGACTCGAATGCTTTCTGTTTTTGCCGCCTGGGTGTTGGAGAACCCGTGAACTTCTTGGATGCTTTTGAATTTTGTGTAATCGAAAGATGGGTATTTCCGCGATGTTAATTTGAATAGGGGCTGGTTTGTGGATGTTGTGACTGGGTGTGTGCCCGCCGATGTTATACCGTCCTGGCCTTGAAGTGAAACCTTGGATGCTCTCATAATAAGATCATTTAATACGGGAGCCGGGGGGTACTTACCTGCGGGCTGACTCGTTTCTTTTCCTTTGTTTGTTGGTGGATTATTGGTCGGGCTGGTTGACTTCTGTGACTGTTGTGGCAACATTGTATACACTGCAGGTGTTGTGCTACCGCCTGGGGCCGTCGCGTTGGTGTTAGCGTTGGTTTGTGTTATTTGAACTATTATGTTATTAATGTTTGCTTGGAGTTGTTCGTTCCACAATTTCTGTTTGTCATTCTGGGCATCGATATATTGCCTGATGGATCCGATGATCGTTGTGGTGGATGCCCGAATTGCCTCATCAATATAAGCTTTTGTTGAAGGATCGATGCGTAATTCTGTTGTGGAACCGTCTGATATGGTAGCCGGTGCTGGTGTGGTTGGGGCCGGTTGTAAGATCGTGCGCAGTTCCTTGTTGCCATCACGTGGGTTTGATTCTGTGTTGCTGCTCATGTTCGGCCGTGTAAGTGGATATGTAGCAGCGTGGCGGTTTTCTTATTTTTTTTGTTTTTTTTTTTGTTTTCCCTTTTATTTTATTTTATTTTATTTTATTTTCTTTGCTCCTTTTTTTTTATTTTTTTTATTTATTGTTTATTATGTCCTTATCTATTTAACCAACTGTTGAGGTATGGTTTCGATAACTAGAGTGTTTAATCGAGAAATTTGTTTACCGAAGACTATTGTATCGAAGTGGGAAAGAGTGTCGAAGTCGATTTTTTTTCTTTGTCGGCTGTTTATATATCGATCGTGGTCGGTGGCTTATTTTAATTACGTAGAGGTTGCGTGTTGATTCATGCAATTTGATTAATCGATTATTAATTGATTTGTTCTTTGATCTCGATCCCTGCCCTTTGCCCCGTGATTTGAGGGCACGGGTTGTGGCACGTGGTGTGTAGCCCCTGGCCATTTCTTCCCTTTCTTTTCGATCCGTTGACCCTTGTCAACATGCATGAAAAAGAAAGCGATTCGCAAGTAATTATTTACTATTTGAGGTATAAAAAATGATAAAGAATTTAATCGCAGTTTAAAAAAAATCCTTAATAATTAATTTTTATAATAATATAGTACTATATTAGTGCCGCCAAGTGAAAAGAGCACCTTGATTTTTTAAATATATCACTGATTATTAGACTGATTCAGCCATTCTGGTTGACTACATATAGGACTATTGATATTATCGATATAATTTAAAACCGATATGCCATCGATCAGAAGGGCTGAATTAGACTTTAATCAGTAATATATTTAAAAAAAACCAAGATTCTCTTTTCCTTTGGCTGCATTTATATATAGATTTGATTGACATAGTTGATCACACACCCCAATAATACATGTTATGTGAATTTCACATCAAACAAATAAAAATAAGTTTTAAATAATGGTTTTACCAAAAAATCCCGACATCCAAAATCTCGACAGGCCATAATACTGGCATCACGCGACGTGATAAATAAAAATTCAACGTCTGACAATAATTGTTAATGTGATTACTAATCATTAAATATTAATCGTCACCTAGGGATTATGGTTTTCAAGATTTTGGATGTCGAGATTTTTTGGTAAAACCTTAAGTATAATCATAATTTTATTATAAAAAAATTATACAATATTTTATTTTTAACAAAAATAGATCAGATATAAATTTATAAAATTTAAGTAGGCAAATTTGTCTACTTATCTGGACAGTTTAAGAGATAGAGTGCTTTGTTGATTTTGTGACGTAATAAAGTAATAGAGCAGTAAATAACTGATTGTGATTACTTGGGTTTCTGATACAGGAGCGACCGTCGATGTTACACGACTGATCCTTCATCCGGTGTGCATGTACTGTCGGAATGATCTGGTATTGTAAAATAGTTTTTTTATATAGTGCACACCGGGTGAAGGATCAGTCGTGTAACATCGACGGTCGCTCCTGTAGGTTTCTGAAATAATTCCCATTAGAATATCTAGGGAATAATTATTATAAGTAATTAGATCTAGTATTAAATACGAGTTCTTTTGTCATCTTAGTGGCTTGTACAAATCTTGGTTATAGTTTATTTAATAATTTGAATGAATGTTGTAGTATTTGCTAAGCGGAAAATTTAGTATATATTTATTTTGATAGCTAATTTATACTTTAGACAATTTGAACTAGTATTCTTTAAATTGCAGAAATATAGGTTGAAAAGCATTGGGAGTTTATTTAGTAGCAGTTTAATTTTAAAGATATTTACTTAGGATTGTTTATATGAGTGAATCTTGTTGTTGATTTATTATAAACTTTAGATTATTATATTTTGTTTTTTATAAGATCTGGGTTTTATTTAGATTCCATCTATTTTATTTTGTTTTGTAAATATTGGATGTTCTATAGAATAGGTAGGCAATATAAGAAATAAGTTTTGCTAATGATTAGTAATCATTAATTTTTTAATAGCAGAGTTGCGGAGTCTGCCCAACTATTTTATAGAACATCCTAAATGTTATTTGGCTAGTGCTTATAAGTCTGTTTTGGGTCTGGTTTAGCCTGATCTGATCAGAAATCAAATTTAATTCAAACTCTAAATTTTATTTGCAAACTATACTTAAATTTAGGTTCTGTTTGGTTTGAAGTTTGTTAACTAGTTTGAGTTTAAATATATTAGTTTACAGTATTTTATTGTAGCCGTTTTTATAATTCTTAAAGTATCTAATAAAAAATATATCAAATAGTTTTTTGGCTAGTTTGATTAAGGTATTGATTTCAACATAATTGATATATAAAAATAAATTATCCCTTAAACTGTATTTCAGACAAATTTGCCTAGAAAATTAAATTGTAATTAGTATTTTTAAATAAAATAATAATTTATTTTTTTTTTGAATATTAATAGTTAAAATAATAATTTATTAATGATATGGAATATATATTTATTATAGAATATATTCTTGAAAATATATTTTATAAATTTTATTATTAAAATTTTTTAAAATTATTAATAAATGTCACAGATTAAAACAAAATCTGATCAAAACAAAATTTTTTTGTTTAAGGAAAATTTAAAATTTTTTGGATCATATTTTTTGAGGTTCTTTTTAGCATTAGGGGTAGGGTTTAGGGTTAGGTTTATTAATAAATGAGTATATGTGGGGTTTATAGGCTCTAAAGGTGGGTATGAGAGGTTTTCAGATTCATTTTAATTAGATTTTATTTTAATCTTCGACAATAAACTTTGGAGTAATAAAATTTTAAGTTTTTGTTTAAAAATTTTTATTATTAAAAATTTTTTAAAATTTTTTAAGATTTTATATGTTTTGAAGATAAAAAAAATTTTGCTCTTAATACAAGTCTAAATTTTTATAACTAAGTTGAAAAGTTGTAATAATGACAATTGTTATTCTTTATATAAGCTATAATTTTGCATTAAGAATTATAGCTTTAAAATTAATATTTAAAAAGTTTATCAAGAATAATTAAATAATTTTTTGACTAAAAATTTTATCTAAATTAGCTTATTTTTACCTTAAAATTTTTTTCTTATAAAATAAAATTAAATACTACTATAATATAATCCTTATTTTTAAATATTATTAAAAAAAAAATTATTTTAATATTTTAAAATTTAAAAAATGTCACAGCTGATGTGAATTTGGCTGATGTTGAATATCACATAAAAATTTGGGTCAGAAATTGCAAATCACATGTTGATTAGAGAAAAATCAAAACAAACTCTAATCAACGACAAAGTTCTTAAAATTTGTTTGTGTTAGAGTTATTGTCTATATTAATATTAAAGCTTAAAAAGTTATATAGTAAATTACTCAAAGAAAACTTTTTGTTAGTATGCAATGTGTTGTTTTTATGAAGATTTTTAAGAAATCAGTAATTTTTGACAATGAGATATTTGGTTTAAATTTTTATAATCAACATGCAATCTTCAATTTCTGACCCAAATTTTCACATGATATTTAGCATCAACTGTGACAAAAAATATAGATTATAAGTATATTTATAAAAATTTTTTAGGCAAATTTGTCTGAAAAAGCCTACAGATTAAGAGAAAATTTTATATTATATTATATATATATATTATATTATAATTTGAACTCTTTCTTATAGATTTCAGTTTTATAGAAAATAAAGCTGATATAACTAAATTTAGTTTTTTTATAAATCAATAATTAATTATATAAACAAGAAAATATAATATAAAGAAACCAATAGTTTACATTATTAAATAACCAATTTAAAGAAAAAAAAAGGCAGCAAAAGCTATATAATAAACAACAAAAAAATACAAAATTCACAAATTCTATAATACTACACTTAAAATTCAACCTAACCTTTAAATAAGCAAATACAGTAGCAGTAGCTATAGTGCAAATAGAAAGCTTTAGCCAAACTAGATTTTATCTACACTAATACTAGTACAAAAAGACAATATACTTTTCTCTAAATAGGTTATTCAGCTTATCACATCCAAAAGTTAATATAATGTCACCACTTCAAGAAAACAACAATAAACAACTTGTACAAACAAATATTAACAATATCTAAACAGAAACCACAAAAAAAAACAACACAACAATAATTTCTCACAATAGCAACCCTAATATTACTATATTATACAAAACAGCTTACACTAGCAACATTAATACATATTTATTTCAGATCAACAACAATATAATAACAATGACACACAATATGAAGCCTACATCAAACTACATCAAACAATATACAGAAATTAAAACCCATTAACAAGAAAACAAACAGATATAGAAATGTGATTTTTGTCTTGAAAATCAAGTTATAGGATATAGTAAATTATATATCTCATATTTGATTTTCAACTAGTTTAGATAATACACAACTCAATAACAAAATATAAACTAACACAGCCTCAACTATATCTGCACATCATGAAAACTACAATATATTTACATATAGCAAGTATTTCTCCAATTATTTAATAAGTAGTGATAAGCTATTTATAACAATTAATGTATCTTATTTATTCACATTGATGTTAATCAATGCAAATAATTTAAATAAATTATTCACTCATTTTCTATTCAATTTCTTTATGTTGATCAATCGAATTATTCAAATAAACTAACAATTATTTCATTTGTTTATATTCAATTTTTTGGATTGATTTAATCGATATTTCTATTGGTTATTTAGAGATAAGTTAACACTAACTTAGTTTTTTATACGAATCACACCAATAAGATTGAAATTAGATTTTTCTTCTCACATTAACATAGGTTAATATAGATCACAATTGTAATATTATTATTTTTATTACTTGAGAAATTCCGGTTGGGCGATTGGATGTTTTTTTTTATTAATTTTAACTAATAGACTGAATTTCATGAAGCTAAAATCTTTTAATTTCTAAAGCTTTCTTGAAAGGCATTCTACTTGTTTAGATACTATAACTATGATTTTAAGTTCTTTGATTAATTTTCAAATCAGTTAAATTGAA